AAAGTCACCGTCAGACCAGAGACAGCCTTGTAAACACCCCAGGGAAGCATCTAGGGCTTGGGTTCATTGCCCAGTTCACCAACAGGGAAAAAGTGCCTTTTCAGAGGAAGTAAAAAGTTTAATCCAAGGGATGAGGAGTGTGAGCATAATGCTAAGTGTTAACAGGGTAAGTAGTTCAAGGGACATGGCGTCCATTGAGCTGGGAAAGCAAGAAGCCTGGTGCCCACCACCCAAGTGCTGGAAAAAAGCAGCATTCATTCATACCTGCCTCCCACCCCTTCCAGAACAAAAGATAAAATCTGAGATGTAAAAGGAAGGAAGGGAAAGAAGGAGGGAGGGAGGGAAGGAGGGCAGGCAGCAGGCATTATAACTTGGAAAGAAACTTGAAGATCACTTAATGCAGCCTCCACATATGGAAACAGAACCAGAGAGACCGAGGCAGAGTTCTGCCTTGCACAACTCCAAGGTCACTGGCCACATTGTGTTCCATGTGGATGGTGACCCCTGGGGTTGTGCTGGGTTAAGGAACACAATCAAGGTCACAGAGATAGAGAATCAAAACTTGACAGTAGGCATTTCAACTCCAAGGTCCTTTCCATGCCCCATGCAACACCTCACTCCAGCGCGCTCCTCCACAGGGGTCATCTGGTGTTCAGTGTAACTCTGTGGGGTGGGCAGCATAGGCTGTGAGCCATGATTCACAGCTGCAGACACCAGGCACCCAAAGGCCCCACCTATTCCAGAAGTTACTATATGGTGGCTGTGCCAGGACAACACCAACCCCAGCACCCAAATCCCAACCAAAGCCCTATATGAACCCAGAATGGACAACAATAACAAAACAATACAAAAAATAAACGATTTAAAAAAGAAATTCAGGAGAACAAAAGAAAAGGCAAGAACATCTTCCAAAAGACTACACAGAATTCATCCATTCCATTAAAAAGTATGGAGTAGAGTGAATTTTATGGCATATGAATTCTATCTCAATGAAGCTGCCATTACAAAGTAACAGACCTAAAAGCCCCCCGTTTGTAATGTCAACTTTTGACAAAGCATTTTATTAAGAAATTTAATCAATTGTTCTTTACCCTTGATTTTTTTTCTATATAGTTTACAAGGAATTATGAAAGCCAGAGCTGTATGAATGTTAGGGATTTTACAGATGGGAAAGCCAGGAGCAGAGATAGGAAGTGAGCTACGGGATCGAGCAGAGGCTAGAATTCTGTGTCCTCTGAGTATACGCCTGCTTATCTATGTTATTGTTGAGAATGAAGGTTGGGCTGGGAAAACACGAGGAAAGGACAGGATGAAAAAGGAGCTGCCTGTGGTTTCAGGGCCAGAGGTCAAGGCTAGGACATAGAAAAAGGATATACAATGTTCAAGCCAGGGAGGGGTCTCATGTTAACTCAAAACACAAAAGGAAACTATGACACAGGGAAGATGGTGGTCCCTTTCCTAGTGGTCATGAAGTAGGAAATCCAGAAACCAGTACACCCCACCTCGAGAAAAGGCCCAGGGACTTAGCACAGGTCAGGATATCCACCCAAAAAGAAGCTTCACCGTTTTGGTAAATGGTCCCTTTCGTCTGATTCTATCTATGAAGGCTGACCCTCTATAAGCATATGAAAGTGTTACCTACAAGTGACCAGACACCCAGGACTTGCACTGTCACCTAGCACCACAGCTGCTTTAACTGGACCGCAAGCAGAGACCCCACGGCCAAGCAAAGAAAGAACTGGGGCCGTGGGCCTGGGCCGAGGAGAAGGCTGCCGCCCAAGATGCCTCCTGCCACCCCACCCGAGACCACCTTCCTTCTGCCAGGTTGTTTGTCTTGGGGTAGGGTGAGAACATTCATCTGGAGGTGATCCACTAAGCGGGTCTTCTTGCCTGCCCACCTGGGGCCATGGAACAGAAGCTGCCTATTGTATCATCACAGGAAAGGCTGGCCTGGGATGGCTGGTCCCCAGAAGACCTGCTGCAGCGCTGCCTCCACACAGGCCAACTCGTGAGTGAACAGAGCTCAGGAAAGCTGGCGGGAGCCATCAGGTCCAAGTGCAGGGACGTGCGATTACATCTGCTATCGCTGGGGAGGCTATCTCCCAGATCCTCAATCCATCAGTCACACTGTCAAGCTGGAATAGGCAAAGGCTAAAGATGTGCCACTCACACTGGGTTAAATGTACCATGCCAACTTTTCAGAACATACAAATTCCCTGAGGGGGTTGGATGGGGGACTTTCAGTAGCAGAGAGAATCCCCAAGGTCCCCAACACTTTTCTTCTGCTCTTCTGGAACCTCAAATCCCCTTGATTGTTCCTTCCAGCCTAGACCCAGGAAAGCCTGGGGAGGAGGAGAAGCAAGCCCCTCACCTCTGGGGTGCCACCTGATGCAGAGCAGAGCCAGCTAATCAGGCACCACAGATGAAAACATCCTCTAGTGGCCCATGCAGTCCCCTGGGGGTCAAAGAGATGAACCTGGAGTTCTTCGTGGGCTAAAAGAGCCCTTTTTGGTTTCAATATTTCCCTGCCTCTTATTTTCCCAACCAGAGAACATCCTCCTGCGGCTGCTTTCATTTCAGCCTACCCCCCTCTGAAGTTACTTCTATTCAGGTCCCAAGTCCCCAGAGGCAAGGCATCGGATTGTTGGTCTTCACACAGCCAACACAAGCACAGAGCCTGGCATGGAACAGGAGCTCCGTAATACCTGTTCCAAGATGAATGGCTGGAGAGATGGGGGGATGGGACTGCAGAAAAAGCATATGACAATCTGCAAAACTATATGCCAGGGCTGCCGTCACCAGCATTGTGGCCCCCACCCCTCCGAGGACCAGAGGTCACTTCCTCTATTTTAAAGTGATAATTCCAAATTGTTGGCATTCTGTGGCTCAAACACCCCACCGGTTGCCATATGAGAAGGGGACAGAAGTGGCCAAAGCATTTCAAATAACAGAAACAACTTCTCACAGCCCTAAGAAAACCCTCTCAATCTTTCTCATCAGGATAATGGCCTTGTCATCCCATGGTTAAAGGTGTCAAGGAGGCAGGTAAAATAAAGCTGTAATCACTGCAGAGAAGTGAAAATGGGAGAGAGTGGAGTAGGTCTATGATGACATTCTGGGTATCTTTGTATTGCAGAATATTTCAAACATACACAAAAGTAGGGAGAATGGTATATTGACCCCCTAACAAATCCATGTCCATGGTCAACAACTCTCACCAATTTTGTTTCATCGATGCCCCTATCCTCTCCCGCACCATCGCCATAGATTATTTTGAAGCAAATCCCAGACACAGTTATCTTTTCATCCATTCTGTGATGACACTGATGCAGCTCAAGAACCCCACAGGGGACCATCCACAGTGCTGACAGTCAACACATCTTGCTGCGTTGAAGGCAAGGGTGCGATGCCAAGCCCCATGTGGTCCTAGGGAGGTGCTGGCACACCCAGAGGGAGCCGCCGCAGCTTGAGACTCTCAACCCAGGAAGAGCATCCCCAGCTCTGCCTCTAGCTGATTGGGTCGTCTGGGGTCAAGGACTGTTGTTTGTGGGAGACTCACTTTCTCCATCTATAAAGGTGAGATAATGAGACCCATCTGCCATCCACTGAGAGCCTCGGGGCATGCCAGGCTACTCTGATAAAAGCCACGAGTGCTGGACCAACATAAAAGGAGCTGTTAGAGGGTTTCATGCCCTCTGACCCCTCCACGGCTGTTTTACATGCCTTAAGCGTCCTATGAAGATGCTGAATGCTTCCAGATGAGCCCTGAGCTCCTTAGAGGCAGATGCTGTCACAGCAGCCCTGAATGCATTCCAGGCTCTACATCTCTTCTCACCTGACTCCTTCCACCTAGGACACGCCCTCTCTGTTTATCCAATTTGCCTCATCCTTCAAGGCCCTGCTCAGTAATCTCTCCCTTCTTTACACACCCAACTCATACTGCCTTTTTTCCACTAAACTATTAGGAACTCCTGCACTTACACACTCATATTTAAATCCTATGTAATTATTGCACGAGAATAGCTTGTCTACCCAGTCAGATGGCAAACAAGTGAGGACCATGTCTCATATTCACCATAGCGTTCAGCACCACGTCTTACATGGAGAAGACCCTCAATCATCACTCGCTGATTTCATCTTCCTGAGAGCGTCATGGACCATTCACAAGACTGCTGCCCTGGGTCAGAGACCCTCTGTATGGCTAAGAGGCTGGCAAGACCAGTGGCTCTGAAACCAGGTCCTCTGCCCTCAAACCGCCTGAGAGCCTCGGTCCTACCTCAGATCTACTGAAGGGGAATTTCTGGGAATTTCTGAAAAAACTGCCCTGACAATTCTCTGGTGCTGCAACTGGGAGACACTGGTTTAAATTATTCAAGTTCCCTTCGGCATGTAAGATGCTATGATTCTGGAGAAGTTTCCATGGAACAAACCAGAAAATAATTCAATCTTCTCATCTAAATCTGCAGGAAGAAAAACCCTCACTTTTTATTGTTCCTTCAGATTTTCTCTTTCTCCTTCATTCCATACATACATTTGTTGGACAGCTTATATGAAAGTTTCTGCCCCAAATGCCCTGAGGAAGAGAACCTCTGCCACAAACAGTGCATGGGGAAACAAGATTACCAGCATGAGGAAATATTCAAGAGAGAAGATGAGAAGCACCTTAAAAATCTCTCCTTTCCCCCCCTGCACTTTGCCTGGTGAGCAAAAGGTAAAGTTACAGAGAAAGACCAATGAACATTTCCCCTCACCTCTACAAGCCCTGGTGGGACCCCATGTGGTGGCCCCTTTGGCCCAGAGACACGTATGGATACAGTGTTTTGCTGTCTACTTCCCCTTCAGCCCTTCTCCCTTCTCCACCCCTGCTCCGAGGATGTAGCAGGTGACACAGGCCTGGCCAATCACAGCATGGCCTCCCCCTGGCCACAGAGATTGGTTCAGGGAAGGACACGTGTCCTAAGTGACTCTCGGGCCTTCTGTGGGAGCTACTAGGAAAAACTCTGGCTCTCTCTTGTTGAAGGAAATGGGAGGATGAGAAGCCAGAGCCGCTGGAGTCAATGAAGCCATCACGCCACCTAGAGGAGAGAACCTGGGGCTGCCAGGGGCAGGCCCGGGAGACCCCCGAAACAAAGCCAAGTGAGCAGAAGGCACAGTGGAGAGAAGCCAAGTGAATCCAGCCGTGCCCGCAGCAGAGGCTACTCCTGGACTTTGCATTTACATGAGCCAAATAAATTCTTTTTTTTTTTTTACTTTAGTCAACATGCTTAATTGAGACAAATTTCCGTTACTTGCAGAGAAAGTCCTAGCTGATGTCAACACAGGGACCACAATGCATGCACTACTATGCAGTTGAAACATGCTTTGAGACGCTGTCACACAGAGGCAGTGTGACAGCTTGCGGAGCGAGAAACCCTTACTACAAAGGTCAGAAAACCGTGTGCTCTGTTCAAAAGTGTGCTCTGAGGACCAGCTGCGTCAGCACCTCCTGGGAGCTTGTTAGAAACGCAGAATCGCAGCCCTGCCCCAGACATACCAACTCAGAAATTTTCACAAGATCTGCAAGTGATTTGTATGCACGCTAAAGTTTGAGAAGCTTTGTTAGAATACTGTGTCTGCTATTTACTGGCCGGATGACTACAGCAAATCACCTGATATCTCTGATTTTTCACGTGGGCAATGGAGGTCCTAATAACATAATATACGAGAGACGCAGGTATAGTACAAAACGAACAGTCCTCGGTTTCCTTCACGGCTCTTCCAGTAACTATGATCTTGGACAAGTTCCTGAACTTCTAGGAGCTTCAGGTTCCTCATCTGTAAAACAGATAATAATACCTGTCTGACAGGACTGATGTCAGGATTACAGGAGAAAATGGATGCAAAGTGCTTGGCACATTATATGACCCAGACGACTAGGACTTAATCAAAGGTACCTATTCTTGTTATTATTGTTGTACTATTATAATTACTGTCATTATCCACCCTACACACCTCACAGAGGCAGGAGGTTGTGAGACTCAAAAAGACAATGTGCAGGGGGGAAAAAAATGCTTAAAACCAAAGAACCCAAGGTATAGTCCTTTACTGATCTGGAAACTGAGGCTCACAGAGGTGAAGGAACTTGTCCAAGCTCATCAAAGCAGGAAGGGGTACAGCCTAGGTTGACACCACCACCCTCCAATCTGGCAGAGGTTACAGGTTGTGGAAGGCTCGTGTCTACCTGTTCTTCCTCCCACCAGACTGTGAGCTCCTCCGTAAGCTTGCCACCTCCACATCTGGCCCAGTTCCCGCCCACAGTGGACACTCAGTGAACATTTGCTGAATGCAAACCTTGACCGCCCGACCTCTTTAACTCACGGTTTTTGCACCACCCCATAGTATCTCCCTTGGTAAGGTGCTGCAGTGCCTTGGTACCTTAAGAAGCTGAGTACTGTTATTAATCCTAATTAGAATTTACAACATTTCATTTGGAGACCAAAGCTCCACTGGGGATTCAATGCCGCAGTTCAATTCTAGGCCCCTGGGAGAATCCAGGAGAACAGGAATTTTGGCTGAGTGCAGAATGGATGAGATCTTTCACTCGTCTGAGAAAAACCACATGCTTTCATTAGCTAGAAAACAATGCCTGGTTCTGCCAGAATGTTGGCAAAGGAACATCTGAAACGATACTGCCAGCAAAGCCGAATCAGGGCTTTGGTGACTGGTTGACACGTAACCGATCCACACAGGCAGGCTTGTCAGAATGCTAGTCTGGGCCAGAAACAGCCATTCAGCCTTTGTCTCCTGACTTCAACCTCAAAGGGAGGCTGAGGGCTGTGGGTCTTAAACAAAATGGACCCTAAGTAAATGTGGAATGAGCTGAAGTGAACTGGAATATCCCTATTAAATGGGACAGTGGAAAAGCACAAAATATAGGAAGGTAGATTTACACACAAATGTAGCATTAATGACAATAAATCCAGATGGACTAAGTGCTCTAGTTACGTGAACTCCTGCGAACCATTCAGAAGACACATCTAAAAGAAAAAGCATGGGCAAATGACTTGAAAAGAAACTTCCCACCAGAGAAGATCCAAATGGAATAGCCAATAAGCATATGAAAATGTGTTCAATCTCAATTAGTTATCAGGAAAATAAAAATTAAAACCATGATAAACCATTACACTGTCCCAGACAAGCAAAAATTTTCAAGTCAGAGAAGACAAAATGTTAGCAAGAATGCAGACCTTTGAAAACTCTCAGACACTACTAGTAGGCGTGTAAATCTGGGACAACTAATTTTGAAAAGAACTTGCTATTATCTAGGAAATTTCAGGGTAAGCATGCCTTGTAATCCAGCAATTCCACTCGTAGTTATGTACACACTCCTAGTTATATGCTCACATACACGTGTACCAGGATAACACATTTGAGGATGCTCACAGTAGCATTGTCCCTAACACCCTAAAACTGGAAACACCCCAAGTGTCCATCAACAGGGGGACAGATACATAAATTTATAGTCATACAATGGAAATGTATACAACAATGAAAATAAATAGACACACCCAACACGGATGGCATAACGTTGAATGCAAGAAGCAAGACATGAAAGAATACAGACAGGAAGAGTCCATTCATATAAAGTTCAAAAACAGGCAAAACTAAACTTATACTGTGAAGGAAGGCAGATATAGGTGGTAGAACTATAAGTTAAAGCAAGGAAACGATTATCCTCAGCCAGGAGAGTAGAGACGGAGGAGTCGAGCAGTGCGGGGAGCTCAGAGGGGCTTCTGGGTGCTGTCGGTGTCTTAGTTCTAGATTTTGGTGGTGGTTTTATGGGACATATGGGATTTCACCCATTACTGCTTTTTAAAATGTATCATACATAATTACATGGTTTATAACTGTATAATATACTTTTCCATATATATGTTGTATTTCGCAATAAAACAAAAAAAAAGAAAGAAAGAAAGAAAAAACAAATGTAGAACAAGCTAAAACAAAAGTCAAGTTTGGAATTATCTGAATTCACTTGAGATCTGACAGTGGCCAATTCAGTCATGTGCTGCTTAGAAGGATTTCTATAGGGCCGAAGACATAAACGTAGAGAATGGAGGAGAAAGTTAGAGGTCAAGGGTGGGGACAAAGGAAGAAAGTTCCTGAAGACCTGTGTGGGTAGACAAGCAGGTTATATGTGGAGCTTATGCCTGGAACTCCCACCTCTAGAAAGCAACCACCCTTCCCTTCTGGCTTCATCCTCCAAGACTCCCCCTGGGAATCGCCCATGGGTCCCAGGTAGTTAGTCATCCATCTCAAGCATCCCTTTGCATGTTGTACCTACATCGATGAACCCTTTTCTTGCCATGTTATAATGGTTTGCCTTCCCATATGATATCCTCAAAGGCAAGAGGTAATTTTTGGATCTTTTCCTGCCCTCTCCTTCCTGCCAGCACTTAGGCCAGTGCCTGGCAAGGAGGAGACACTCAGCAGAGTGGCTGAATGAACAAGAGAATGCTTTACCTTCAGCTGCAATTCCTTATATCTCTTGGACATCCGAATGAGCAACTTCTCACCATTGATCATGGCAGATTTTTCTTGGTAATACTGGACCATGGCCTGGGCAGCTTCTGTGTAAGCCATCTCTAAAAAGGCCTAGGAAATAAAGGAAGAACATACAGTGAACTTGACTTAAATGGTCTTAAAATTCAGTACAAGGTGTGATTCCATGGATATAAAGTTCGAGAACAGGCAAAACGAATCAATGGTGCTAGAAGTTAGAGTTGAGCATCCCTCTGAGGTGGGGTGGGGTATTGACTGGGATGGGGCATGAGGAAGCCTTCTGAGGTTCTAGAAATACTCTCCATCTGGACCTGCATGGTAATTACACAGGTGTACACATGTAAAGAATTAATGGAGTTGTGCACTTAAGACTAGTGCACTTTATACCTCAATAAAAAGAAGAAAAAATCAGTACAAGGAATAGCTCTCTTTGATCCCATCTGTTCAAAGAAACCTATTTATTAACTTCACCAAAAGAGCTCATTATAAGATGGCCCCTCTCCTGATTCCCATGGTTTCCAAACATTAGTCTTAATTATGTATGTCCATCCTGGGCTACATCATGCCACAGGAACCCCTCTAGGATGGGAGGGTCCATTAACCCACTGTTTCCCAGGGGAAAAGGCTGGAACAGGGGAGAGGGAATTTGCTGCACAAGTGGCCTTGGGCCAATCCCTGCAAAATTTGCTATTTAGTGGTGGCAATGGCAGAAGACAGAGACACAAGCCCTGGGTATTTGAGCTCTTACTTTCTTTGCAAAGAAAGAAATATACTAAAAAACTCAGGGGCTCCCTAGGCTCGAAGGAAGACCATGCCTTTGTGAGTTAAAGAGAGAGTCAGTTATGTTTCCACAGCATTTTCCCTCTTCATTTAACATTCTGATTTTTAAAAGAAAGAAAGAAAGAAAGAAAGAAAGAAAGAAAGAAAGAAAGAAAGAAAGAAAGAAAGAAAGAAAGAAAGAAAGAAAGAAAGAAAGAAAGAAAGAAAGAAACTTACAAAGAAGTGGCTTGTCCCAGTCCATCAGTGTCTACAGAGACTGTTTCGACTGACCTGTCACTTTACCCCAGTGGCTGCTATGGCGGATACATCCGAGTTATTATTTCTTAGGTTTGTTTGGTTGGTACTGATCTGGTCTCTCGATGTTGAGAAGGAAAAGTGGTCTGAGACAAGGGAACCCTCACTGTGAGTGCCTACTCTCCCATTTCCTTGAACAAGCTCATCCTCCCTCCTTCCTTCACATTTGTTTTTGAATTTCAGGTATGCTTTTCTCCATGCTGTCACAGTCTGTGGCAGAAGTGTGGGAGCCTGAGAAGTCAAGATTATTTAGAGTTTTATTCAAATTCTGCCACCCAGCTTTCTAAGTGACTCTTTGTTCGTGCAAACATTTTAGCACCTCTCCCTCTCACCTGTCAAATGCAAATATTAATTCGGTGAATCTCACTGCATTAATGTTGCAAGCTGAATTTGAGACATTTACCCAAAATAGAAAGAACTCTGAGAAGTAGAACAAAGAGACACAGTGAGTAGTCTAAGCCCAGAAGACCACTGGTGATCCGATATAGCTTTGAGTCTCCAAAGTTCGTGTCTTAATTAAGAAGAGAATTTCTCCTATGCCTGTTCCTCTGACTCACAAAGTAAAAATATTTATTAACAATCAAACACAAAATGTTCTAACTTCTGACCATTCTCTGTATAAACTCCCCCTTTGACTTTAGAAATGAAGACAAACATATTAACCTCCAAGGGCTCAGTCAATCCCCATGGGTCGAGTTCTTAGTTCCTTAGACTCCCAGGCAGCCACTAACTCCCACCCACTCTCCCACTGGGGGACCCAAGGGCCTCAGATGCCAATAACACAGACCAGTGAAAATACCTGTTCCCAGTCAGTTGTTGGCTGGCTCCAAATCCAGGCCCTCAGATATGAGAAGCTTAGAAGGCAAGACTTTTAGCATTCGCTCAGGGGATTGGTAACACAGTGAAAAGACTCAAGTCCATGGATTTCTACTTTGGGGGCCAGTTAGCTTTTCTATGTTAATGAGTTCTCATTCCAAAGCACCTCCTCACCGCTAGGCAACTCACATAGGCCTGTACCATCACAAGAAGGGTAAGACGAAACAAGGGAAAACAAAACACCACCACCACCAAAACCTTTGTGCTGTACCAACAAAAACAGGAGTCCAGCTGTGCATTACCTCCTCGTGTTAAGAACAGCTTCTGTTTTAAAAAATTACATATACCTTTTTTTTGTTACCAGATGGATGACCACCAGTGTCTGATCTATCTGGTGTGTACCACTGTGAAAATGCCCAGACCTACCTGATTAGTAGACTTCATGAGGATGTAATTGGTGACTTTCCCAAAGGGCAGCCCCAGGTTAATGACGTCATT